TATTGTATCATTATATATAGTGCCAAACGTCTCACACAAATAACGCTACTTCCCATAACTAATCTGGGTATTTTACTTAGTACTGGGTATTATATTTTACAAGATGGTCAGATCACCATTATTCCGAGGCCATGAGATACTTCAGACATTGCTACTACCAAATAGCGAACTAAAAGAACCAATAAAAAAGTTTAATAGAGTTTATCAACGAATTATATTTAGTGAGTACACTGCAAATAATATGAACGCGAACAAAACTTTATTCTCGTCCACCGTAACTACTTTATTACTGGATTTGCTTTGAAAGTTAAAGTTCAAACCCTAGGGAAAAACATTTATTCGAAGCATGTCTCGTAAATAACCGGAAACACATACGTATCATACAGAAACGAGCTTACCAACTTATGTGCATATTGTGAGATAAATAATAATTTAACTGATATTATTAGATGTTCTCAATAGTTATGACATAATGGTAACTGATGACATTTTTGTTACTATGGCTTATACGAGGGTGATACTGAAAGTTCTCAGAATATCTAAAACTGAACAAACTAGCAAGTTATTAGTTTTATTATATCTTTTCAAAATAGTGTCATGTCACACTATATCTTGTCATTACATCGCTGCATCCGATGGAAACACTGAGAAAAGCACTGCCCACTCGTCCTTACTCGTCTTCGACGGCATTTTGAAAAGCAGCCACTGCTTCCTCGGTGTCCATAAAACGGTTTTCCTCGAAGTTTTTCTTTTATTTTCGGAAATAAATAAAAATCGCAAGGTGCGAGGTCAGGGCTATAGGGCGGGTGACCCAGTAATTCTACGTCGCCAAGTAGTCGATTGTGTGCGACGAGGCGTTGTCGTGGTGAAGGAGGATCCTACTGCGAACTCCAGAACTTTTTCCAAGACAAGTGGCAAACAATTGTTAGAGTACTACTCTGCAGTAACTTTTCATCGATCCTCTAAAACAATTGCTGCGTAATGACCTGTCCTACCGAAGAACGAGACCACCATCTTTTTTCCCACGCTTTGACCTATCTTCACTTTAGTTGGCAACTCCTCGGAAGAAAACACCCAGACAGCAAACTGTCTCTTAGTTTCAGGATAATTACAAAAAATCCAGCTTTCGTCACCCGTAAATATGTCGAACACAGCATTTGAGTTACCTCCGTTAAATGTTTGAACCATTTTACGACACCAAACAATACGACGGAGTTTTTGGGCCTCTGTCAAATTATGAGGTATCCACCGGACATAAAGCTTCCTGACTACTAAATGTTCATGGAGGATTTTGTGCATTTGACTCATACCAATGCCTAAGCTTGTCCGAATCTGCTGATAAGTCACTTTTTTGTCAGTCTCTATCATACGCCGCAAAACACTGATGTTATCTTCAGTCGTCACCGCAGAAGGCCGTCCCTCACGCAGATCATCGGTGAGATAAGTGCGACCACGTTTAAACTCATTAAATTAGTTATAAACAATGGCACGAGATAGGGCTTCATCGTGGAAAGCCAATAGAAGTCTATCATAACATTTTTGTTGACTTAAATGACATCGAAAGTCATAAAACATCATTGTATGAATATTTTCTCGCGTTAAATTCATGCTGACATGACACAGACGATTTTCAATTTGCCGCCAAATCGTAAACAAATGACAAATTAATAAAATTCATACACAATAATATTGGTAAAGAGTTCCATTTTCAAAATTTGAATATATTTTTTATTATATCATTTACAAGTGTAGTACTAAATACTTTCAATGTCGCCCTCGTATCTTCTTTTTTAGATGTCCTGCACTAAATTCAAGATAAAAATGTATAATCCAAACATCATGATTTTAACTTCAAGAATGGTATTAGACACTTTCAAAAAAAAAGAATAGTGAAAAACCGAGGGTTTCCCATTATCAGTCAAGAAAAAAATTCTCACATTATCGTTTTTTCATAATGTTCACTTTGGAGAGTGATTAACAATGATTTTTTTTTGTTGATCATTCCTATTTTGTAAAAATGTAAAATAATGTAAAATATGTGCAAAATTATTTACTTGATAATTTCAAATTTGTATATTTTTTATTTAGCTTTTTATTAATCGATACAAATGAATTCTATTAATTTAGTAGGTTATTTGCATGATATTAAGACATAAGGAACCATTTCTAAAAATTTTGTTTGTCTGTCTGTCTGCCCAGCTTAATCTTCGGAATGGCTGAACCGATTGTTGTGAAAAAGAACAGATATAGAACAAAGTCAGAAATGATATAGGCTATATTTTTTCCCAAAGCATGCAGGATTTTTTTTGAAATAAAAAAATCTGATAAAATAAATGGTTTTGATGATAATCTCTTAAATATTAATGGATATATAAAAGTTTCACACAAAGCTTTTCTGGTGTGCAATTTTACACCAAAAACGCAATAAAACTGCATATTCTATCTCTTTAATTTTTGATACAAAATCTCTTTTTTCTTTCAACAATATTTAACAACAAAACTATAAGTGTGAAAGGACAGAGATATTCACTAAAATTATATATAAATATATAATTTTTTGTGAATATCTCTGTCCTTTCTGTCCTGTGTATTCTGTTTATATATATATATATATATATATATATATATATAAATATATATATATATATATTAATAGATCTTAAATATTTATTTTAATCAATTTTCCATATCACAAGTAGTTTTTATTTATGTAACGCGAGCAGCAAGATTGCATGGGTCGAACCGACACATTCGTGCTACAACCATAATATAGCTGCGACGTGGTTCTACCAATCGATAAGTCTTAAATTCAATTGACTAATAAAGCGAAACCACATCAAGAAATATTTTGCTAAACAGCATACTAAGTAGATATTACAAGGCTATACTCAAAATAAAACCTTGGTTTTGTAGTTTTGTTTCTAAGATTAAAAAACTTAACTTTAGTTTTGAGCAAAGCCTAATGTTATCTTTTTTTATATCATATAAATGTTCGCGGCTTAGTCGCAGATCGCTAGATTAGTATTTTAGTTCCTTATTTTGTATTTATATCAATTACCATATCCTTACATCCTATCAAAAGTCCACTGGTGAACATAGGCCTACCCCATAGTTTGATTCATAGAGTGAACATTTGCCACGTTTGGCAAGCGGGTTGGTAATCACAAATTTTTTACTCAGCTTTTAACTGGAAAATGCTGCTACCAATCTCCTCGTTCAGTTTTCCTCTGTCACCTCTGACGACACCCACGGGATGATATGGGGTAGTGGATATTCTTACACCGCAACTAAACGGTTAATTTGTTTATATCGCTCTCCTAAAATTTTGTGTGGCTCTTTTGAATATTTTACAGCTCGATTTTTTTTATTATATTCGCCAAAATAAAATGCTGCTCAAGTCACTATTGTAAAGTGTTGTTATCAGTCGGCAAAATTTTTTTTTCGTTTGTTTAATAATTACTCTATAACAAATATATATTTTTATTATAATCGTTACACTCTAATGTTAACAATTTTTAATTAGATTGAACGGGTCACAAGGATGCTGAGTTACAGAGTCGTTTGGAAATACTTTTCTTGATCTACTGTACAAGTTTTTGTCTTTTGTATTACGCAATATTTTTACCAACTAAATGCTCTTTGCGTCTTTTTTATTTCTGAAGGTTTTTTTTATAGGATCGGGTGACAAACGAGCACACAGTCCACCTGATGGTAAGTGGTTACTGTGACCCATAGACATCTACATCTATCCTCAATAAAGACTCAAGATTCAGATGCGTTGTCACCAGTCAGGACTAAGATGGAATGACTCTTTGCCAGTAAAATGGGTCTCCGGTTCTCTACACTCACCATACGAAACACAGCAGCGTTAAGCTGCTATTTTACGCTGGTTTTCTGTGAGAGCGTGGTCCTTCCCCGTTCGAGCCGACCCATTCGTGCTACAACCATAATATAGCTGCAGCATGGCTCTACCACGTAGAAAAGGTTGCGGGTTCTAACGCTTGACTGACAGTGATAGGCAGCATAATGGGTATCGGGTACGGGGTATCGAGTATCGAGTATCAAGTCTGTGCTCACCAACACTCCTGTCCAGCTAGGTAAGGGCAATTTTTTTTAAATTATTTATGCAATTATGCGTATCCTCAGAAGGAGACCTATCCTTTTTCCAGCAGTGAAAAAGCAATAGAAGAAGTAACGTGTCAAAAAATGTAATAACTTAACCAAATCGATTTCGGATTCAGATTAATTTAATTTTAGTTATGCAAGTCTGCGTGACAAATTATTTGTATGCAATTAAGCGTATTCACAGAAGGACCTATCCAATGTCCAGCAGGGAAAAAACAATAGAGCAAGTAACGTATCAAAAAGGTAATAACTTTACCACTAAACATACACAAATCGAATGGAATACTTATGCATTAATATAAGATTTCGGATTCAGATTAATTTACTTTTACTTGTACAAGTATGCGTGACAAAAGAGCACACAGTCCGTTGCTGGAATTTTAATGCTGTGGTCCGTAGACACTTCTGTCATCCATTAGAAATCAAAATATTGATACGTTGTCACCAGAGCATAGGGTCTCCAGTACTCTGTACTCATGTAACGAAACATAGCGGCATTACGCTGCTGTTTTATGTTAGTATTCTCTGGTTGTGTGGTTTTTCTTCTAGTGGACACCCGATCATATTGCAGCACTGCTACAGCAGCAACTAGCAACATGGCTTTGCTTATAATAAAAATATATGTCTTTGGGTGCAGTGTCAAAATTATATCATGATATCTAAATTTAGATCTTTATTTTTTATATATATATATATATATATATATAACGTATAATTCGAACCCAGTATCGATGAATTAGTGGTTGAACGCATTAAAGTCATACGGTCTGTGTAAAACTGCTGTTTATTTCGCCTAAAGTTTTGCAGTCACAAATTCTACAAAATATTAAATATACCACATTATTATTATTCCATTTCATTATTGTTTAGAACAATTAAAGAAAAGCAATATTTTGTCCATTAGAATTTTTTGTTGATGATCGCATTGATCTAATCGTTGTGAGCTTGACAGAAGACGTCTGATCACCACGACGCAGCCAAGAAGCTTGTTGCCCCCCTGATTCCCTGCGAAATGTAGATTTCATTTTAATATGGCATGCTCAAAATTTCTAAACTGTTAGGTACAAACTTAGTTATCATAACGTATTACGGCTAAATAGAAAATATTATAGTTATAAAATATAATACTTAATAATAGTTATGTTTGTATTTTATTCAGGGTTATTTTATTTCAATGGCAGCAGTTATAAAAATACTTTAAAGATAGCTATGACCATTATGACCTTATAAATTTAACACCACGAACATTCTTCTATATATTATAGAACGCTACCCACAGCTATAATAGATGATCAGGGATAATTTTTGTATTTTTATGCACTCAAAATATTTCAAAATATTTATGTTTAAATATAGTCTGTACCAGTTTTTTATAAATAGAGGGAATATACCAACAATTCCTCCAAGCCGTAGCACTCGCATGCTGACGTACAAGGTTCAGACCGCCGCCAGAAATGCTGATCTCAAATTATACAAACCATTGATAAGGAACATCACCAGTGCAATATCGGCCCTGCGCTCACCAACCCGCCTTTCCAGCATGATGGATATGGATATATTATATTCAAATTCAAGGAATGCATGCAATGCACGCCAGCTAGCACATTCTTGAATAATGTAAAGCTGAGTGTTTCACATCTTTTAATGTTAAAAACGTATTGAATGTCTCGTTGATCTAGTGGTCGTAAGCCCAACTGCCGATCTTGCGGTCTCAGGTTAGAATCCCAACATGTGCATCCGCACACACACTCGTGCGCTATAATAATATTATCTTGCGCAGGTTTTGTAAAACGACACAAAACACGTTAACATAATAATGTTTATTGAATATAGATAACAAGAATACTTATTTAATCCTTTAAGCTTTACCACTGGTTCAGGAAAAACCTCGGTCCTGGGAAGATCCAGCTTAGAACCCAGCGGTTTTTTTAAACAATAATTTACAGTAAAATATTTTATACAATTACAATATGAAAACATTAAGGAACATTTAGAAAGTATACAAGAAATAAAAGGGAAATTTATACCTACAAAATACAAAAAGATATAGATTTCCTCGACCTATGTATATTCAGATATTTGATATTTTTAACGGTTTAATAGGGATTAAAATAATTTCATTATTTTAGATTTTAAATAAGATCACTTATTTCATTACTAATTTTAATAAAAAATTAAAAATATTCAAAGTTAAAAGTCATTATAAAGTATAATGGCAAATTTTAACTCCAATATAGAATACATTAATAGTTAATCAATTATTCCAGATAATCAAACGAATGTCACGTAGCTATTATGTGAATCTCCTATTTTTGTTATATATAGTATATAACAAATATATATATAATTATTACTAAATTTATTACTATTTTTTATATATATATATATATATATATATATATATATATATATATATATATATATATATTAGTAATAAAAAATACATATAGTTTGATAACATTGTCATCTATTACAAAAAATAGTTATTAAAGGATATAACGATGGTAATCGAATAAGATGCTTTATAATGAAAGAATGTTCAGTAATGCAAAAATGGACAGAGAATTTTTAAATTATTTTATTTAAATATATGTTATTAAAAGGGAGATAGATGTAACTTTAAAAATGCGTACTTATCTCTTCGGCTGTAGCGTTTCTTTTTCGGCCACAAATGAAAAGCGCCATATATAATAGGGTTAACCAAACTGTTTGACATGCCAAAGAAAAAAATTCCCGAGAGAAGGCCTTCCCCTAACTGAAAAATAAAATTAAAAGACAATGATTAATAAATCCAAATTTATAAATTATGCACGCAACTATGAACACAGTAATTTATAATATTTTTGCTGCCCGTGTAGAGTCTTACACAAGATTATTTCTTTTTAACAGATAACTATGGAAAATGCCAGAAAGATCTCATGGCAGGAGTAAAATACCCTCATAATTATAGGATTTCTAATCACTTGCCAAACAATGTGATTAAGTTAAATTCTTCCTAAAATGATGAAGTTTTACAAGCTTATTGATTGTAAAGATAGGACCTACACAAAAAAATTGACTAGATTTTTTAAAATACACATAAATTGCCGTTACTGCTTCCTCTAAAATTATTTCATAAATTACTACTTACATTTTTATCAGGATCCAGAAATGTGAACATTATCATCATTATGTAGTAAGGCATCCACCAAATAACGAAAGCCGCAACAATGACGATGGACATTCGCAATGACTTCATCTTCGCTCTATCAATGAGCCGCCTCCTATTTAAATCCAATGTGGAATATTTTTCTTGTGTTTTTGTTTCAGTTTTGAATACTTTCTTGCTTTCTGAAATTAAGATTAAATTAAAAAAAAAACATTTTAAAAAATGCAGCCCTCTTACATCTGTCACAGACTATAGATGAACAGCGAGAGTATTTAGCTCTAGACATAACTAACCATCTGCACACTTTCATGAGTGGCTCTACGATATACAACCTAACTGCCCAGTGTCATCAATGTCTCGAAGCAAATGCCAAAGTTGCATTCTTAAAAAAGACTTGAAATTAATAGGTTCATAAAAAATTCACATAAAGCGCAGCTTTGAAAACATTAGTTTATATTAAATAATAATATTTTTTTATAAACGTATGTAAACCGAGTAGTGGCGTTGTAAGAATATCTACCTACCCCATATCGTCCCGTGGGTGTCGTAAGAGGCGAAAGAGCGAAATTGAAACAGGTGATGGGCAACAGCATCTTTCCGATAACTCAAAATAATAAAAAAAGTGTGCGGATGCCAACCCGCCTGCCAAGCGTGGCAAAAATGGCAAAATCCCCCCTATGAGGCAATCTATTAGGAAGGCCTATGTTCAGCAGTGGACATATATAGGCTGTTATAGATAGATAGAACAATATATTTTGTATTTTTCTGGTGCACTCTTTCAATTTTAATTAAAGAGGTAATTTTCTTCAGTGATAGTATTAGAGAAATGACATAAATCCAATGTTTTCCTTATTTTGCTTTCGTTAGGTAGATAACGTTAAGCGATTAGAGAATTTTCATTCCTAAAATACGAGTATATTTACAATAGAGTTAAAGGTATCAAATAACTCTACAGCCATTTTTCTTATTTATTTATTAATTTAATACTTCACTAGGGACCCGCCCCGGCTTTGCCTGGATTTATTAATGTAGTGTTATTTAGATTTGAGATAATCATTAAAAATGTCCAAATTTATCGTATAAAATATACATTAGAGCACTCCTAGAATTGCTTTCTATATGTAATAAAATAAATAAGTATATAATAAAACATGTTGAAGCTTCATTAAGTGTTATAAGAATCGGATCCATTCTGAAGATTAGTCCGAATAGACAAAATAAAATTTAAAAATGTTTACTTATTACTTAACGACACGCAAATAACCCCTCAGTTCAATAAAAGTTTGTTACTTCGATATTACGGACGGACACTTAACTTTTATTTGTTGTTGTATAGAGTTTATTGTGTGTATAGATTATATATACCTAAAAGTCTAGTCAACATGTGCTTCTTTTGCCTTTTTTTCAACTTTTTTCAGCAGTCTCGAAAAATATAAATAAGGTGTCATTTGATTTGAAATATGGTTTTTGAAAAAAATGAATTCCCGCTCACAAAAATTGCAAAAATGCAATTATCACACTTGCAATATTCATGTTCAATCCGCAATTTCTTGCCGACTAAACATGAATATTGCAAGTGTAATAATAATTAAACTATAAATCTGATTTTTTTTTCATTTCATGGAGCTATTCTTGAAATGCAAAATAAATATAAAAAAAATTCTCCAATGAATCTCCGTTGAAAAAAATTGTTTTTATTTTTATTTTTCAGTGTTTTATCAACAATTTACGTAGTTGTTTTAAATTAATCACTAAAATAGTTCCCGAATAACTCTCATGTATGTGTGTTTTTATTACATTAAGTAGAATAAGAAAAAAAGTAACACTTGCAATATTCATGTTCAATCAGCAAGAAGTTTGTAAGTAACTATAGAATAACTAATTTGTCACTCTTTAGAGAGTGACAAAGCAAATTTATGTTGCAGAAGTGAACGGCAGGGTCGGGAGGGGACGCCCTAGACGAAGGTTTATCGACCAAATCGGCGACACATTAAAAATGGGCCAGATTAGGAGTACCCTTAACCAACGAGCGTGTATGCGTAGATATATGGATGTAAAAGAGGCGAGAGAGGTGTGTCAGGATCGCGCCAAATGGAAGTCCGTAGTCTCTGCCTACCCCTCTGGGTGACAGGCGTGAGTGTTTATGTTATGTTTTTTATGTTAATAACTAATTGAAAAATCTATATAAAAATTATTTGCCGGCGAATTATTGTTCATTCATCTATTCAGTAAGTGGCTGAATCTAAATGTTTAAATAATTTTTATTGCTAGTGTCCAAATTGGCTTGTGGCTTGCACAAGCCAGCGTACCCGTTTTCGGCCGTATATTCACCCCCCTGAGAAAATTATAAATATTGCTTCTACAATTCCCAAAGGTGAGACTTTCTTTTGTGAAATATCCTTTTCTTTTTGAATATTTTTTTAAGATTTCAAAATTCTTAATTACTTTTTGACATATTTGCAAAAAACCAAAACCCCTTTTTTCAGTTAATTGTCTATAAATTTTGCAATTTTTGCGAGCGAGAACTTATTTTTTCAAAAATCATCTACATACCGTTCCCAATTGAATGACAACTGACTTCATATTTTTCCGAGACTGCTGAAAAAGAGTTGAAAAAAGCACTGGTTGCTCTAAAAAACAAGAGCTTTGTCATTAACAGAATATTTCTTTCTGTATAATCCGAAGGGATTCTTTTTTTGTAGCAAATGATGGGAAGTAATAAAATACAATTTTTTATAACATCGAACCTGCAGCCATTAAATAGCATTATATAAGTTTGGGGAAAAATTGTAAGTTACTTCGTATTTTATATACAAATTCAAGACTTTTTTTGAAAGTTTAATTACATCTAATTATAACATATACGTGCCATTTTGTTCGATAACTTGTTGCCATCTTATAGGTAGTGACATAATCCCGTTGCTGTAGAAATCTTGGGCTTTTTGGTCGAAAACGTAGTTTTGATAGTTTTCTCTTAATTTTAATCTAACACTTCTCAAAGAATTGTGAAGATACCGAATTAGGAGAAATCTGAGGGTGCAAGGCCTAGACTATATGGCGGATGCGTTAACACTCCCTCAATTTTTTCTGAGTGGCCAAAGATGAGTGTGGTCTGGCGTTATCATGACGAAAGACCACTCCTTTTCTGTTGATCTATTCCGACCGTTTTTTCTCAATTTCTTGTTAGTCTCATTACTTGTTAGCAGTAGAGATCCGAGTCGATGGTTTTGCCCGGCGATAAAAGTTGATAATAAACGATGCCCTTCCAATCCCACCATATACACAGCATCACCTTATTTCGTGTTAATCCGGGTTTCACTACAGTCTGTGGAGCTTGACTACCCTTTGACCATGATCTTTTTCACACGTTCTTGTCACAAGTGACCCACCTTTCATCACCAGTGATCAACCTTTTCAAAAATGGTTCAGTTTCATTACGTTTCAATAGAGAATCGCAAATGAGTACAGGATTCATTAGGTTTCTTTCAGTGAGCTCGTGTGGTACCCAAATATCGAGCTTTTTTAAATAATCAGAATTTTTCAAATGGGTCAAAACTGTTTTGTGGTCGATCCTCAATTCATCGGCTATGTAATAAATATTAATATGCCGGTGTTGCTCAATGTTTTGAAAAATGGCATCGACTTTTTCCGTATGAGGGCGACCAGAACGAGCTGCATCTTCGACATCAAAATTCCCGGACTAGAAACGCTTGAACAGACTTTGTGCTACTCTTACTGACACTGCATTAGGGCCATAAAGTCACAAACGTTTATCGCGGCTTGAATCGCATTTTTCCCTTTTTTTGTAATAAAACTTCAGAATGTATCGAATTTATTCGTTAGATTCACTCATTTTGACGAAAATAAACAACTGAAAAAGGCGGGTAAGTCGAAAGTTTACTTTTTATTTTTCTTTTTCTTAATGTGCGTGTATGTTTGTGAATTGATATTCACAAACATACAACTAACACAAACACACAACGGCCGTGTAGTGGCGGTTAAGAATATCCACTACCCCATATCTTCCCGTGGGTGTCGTAAAAGGCGACAAAGGGAAACAGGCAGGAGATGAGCAGCAGCATCTTCCACACACACTCGCTAAGTGTGGCATCTATGGCAAATACCCCCCATGATGAAAGTAACAAAAAGATGGCCCCCAGTCCCCGGCGGCCCGGCTATTCCTGGCTATGGTGGCGACCATGGTAAAGGCGGGGCAAGGGGTGCTAAGAATCTACGGTTGAGTTTCGGTTGCCACTTAAGACGACTTGACCTGGCAACATACAACGCGTGCACTCTGAGGACTGACGAGAAGGTCGTGGAGCTGGAAGAAGAGATAGAAAAGTTACGCTGGCATATTATAGGATTATCCATAGTCCGAAGAGAGGGGGAGGACACGGTAATCCTCGAATCCGGCAACTTACTGTATCACCGGGAGGGTATCACAAGGAGGTGTCGGATTTATCGTCCACAAGTCTCTCGTTAAGAGTGTGTCGACGAGGGTTGAGCCTTATACTCAGAATCACCAAACGGTATTCGCTGAAGGTCATACAGGTTTACGCACCAACCTAAGCACACCCCGATAATGAGGTGGAGGAAATGTATGAGGATATCTCTAGAGACATGCATTCCTCCAAAACCCAATATACGGTGTTAATGGGAGACTCCACTGCAAAATTAGGCACAAGAGAGAATGGTGAGCTGAAAGTAGGGAAATTTGGAATAGGGCAACGGAACATAAGGGGCCAGCAGCTGGCCGACTTCATGGAGAAAGAGCGACTCTTTATGATAAACTCTATCTTCCAGAAGCGGCCCCACCGGAAGTCGACCTGGTCGAGCCCCGACGGTTCGACAAAAATGATATTGACTTCATTATGAAGACGACAACTATTCAGTGATGTCTCAGTGATCGCGAGGGTGATAACCGGCAGCGATCACCGAATGGTTAGAGGCACACTGAACCTAAACATTAAGTTAGAGAGGTCTCGTCTAATGAAGTCAACGCTCCGTCCCCCTCATGCTCTGATCCAAAGTCCCGAAAACTTTCAGCTCGAGTTACAAAACCATTTTCAGTACCTATAAGACTGCAATGAAGTGGACGATATGAGCGACAAGCTCGTGGAAACTGTCCATGCGGTCGGAGCTAAGTTCTATAAGACCCGCCGCAGAAGAATACAAAAACTCT